AAAAGGAATGGCTTCATTAAATAATTTAGCGATATAGGACGCATTGAAAGTCATAACTCGTTTAAAAATTGATAATTTCGAATAGTATAATTTTACTAAAACACATACTATCTTTAATCTACCGTTAAGCATTCTATTTATGATACTGAGAATAATAAACATAAAATAGATTCAATTAGCAACTAAATAAAATTTTTAATTACCTCAAGAATGAGTCGATCTATGAGATAGTTCAATCATATAAATTAATAGTACATTATGATTTTACATGATACACGATATTATGATGAGATTGATTATCTTGAAGGTTACTATTTTAGCGATTAAAGACTGCTTCAATCCTACAATGATATGTAAGACGACGAAAATAGGATGAAATCAATCTGTAGAATATATTAATATCACGGTATATTATGTTATAGTAGCTCGCTGCTAACTTCAATTCTATCCATAATTAATTTGTTTTTTTGACAATGGCTGAATAATACTTTTAAACATATCGATGACAATATATTGAATTCTAAACTACTTAGTCGATATTAATTACCAACTGGATGAGAGGTAAAAATAATATACAACTAAATAAACTTTCTGATCATCTCATGCACACAGAAGTAAGGCAAATGATGGCTTAAGGGTAGCTGTCATCCTTGAAGACGTCATCATTAGAGGGCGTCTATTTGTACTACGTATAAGTAATATTAAACTCTTGATCACCTCAATGGAAGATGCGTATAGTCCTAGGGATATTCCATCATTTCTATTTATTATGTCTATTATCGTTGTTGCCAATAATGTTTAGAATATTTACTGGTAGGTAGATTGATATCATAATTCAACAGATGACTGGCTATCTTTCTTATATTTTATTTAAAACATCAATATTAGTTGAGTATAGTTCAAGATAATTCGTCATCAATGATTGTAATTACCTGCCAAACAGAAATAATATCATTTAATCGACTTTAGGCTCATAAAAACATCAACCCGATTAATTAACAAACTCGATGGGATTACTATTTAAAAATGCTTGACCTAAGGCTCAGAAAGACAACTAGTCGATTAATTAACAAACTTGATGGGATTACCATTTATAAATACTAATTGCCTTATGGTTGCAATTAAGTAACTTATCGTCTTAAGTTTTATATTATTCATCAAATCGGAATAAAATTGAGTGTAATTGGAAATAATGCATAGGCTAAATTTGCTTTATTAAAATAGAGAGAGGACTGAATGCAATAGTTCTAATAAGTTAGAAATTAAAAGGTCCCTATAGATTGATAACTTCACTCAACGATAGCGATCAATGTTAGAGAATAGATTAATGATTGGATGGACGGATTGCCTCTCCTTCCCTTTTTATTTTTACCGCTATTCCAAAATGATGGAATGCATTTATTGATATGATCAATACGAGCATACTATTAAATAAATTCAATAGAATAATAGTAGGGCATGTTGATAATTTAAATTCATTGCTTCGAGTTTTTGTTATCTTTCCTTTGAATAAAATGATACATAAAAAGTTCTGTTCTATCACTTTATCGCCAACAAACTAACCTAGAGATCGGAAGAAAATGGAATCATTCTAAAATAGATTAATTGAAAGATAATCATGTTATTATATTGTATTTTTTATTATTGTTATTAATAAAATTAACTCGCTTATTGACTTGGCAACCCTTAGGGCTGAATTCATTATCCATCACAGCATGATTATTGGCTAAGTTCAACAATTTATTGACATTAACATTGACGTCGATGAATATCTATACCATGGAGATGTTATTAAAGTGAGACATGTTAATCATTATTAAATCATTTACCATTGGTCAACAAGGCAAAATTAACTCGATTGAAGCTTCTCTTCTAACTTACCTCTTTTCTTCCTCGTTTACCTTCACCACAAAATCGTTATTCTACTTCTTTAAACATTAATTCTATACTCCTATACCTTTATTTTAATACATAAATTGGTAAGTTTTATACGTAAAGTGATGGTAATAATAGTATTTTTTATCATTAATCCAATTAATTCATGTTATTTACTGGAATTGGTTGAAATTTTTCTTTTTAAAAATTTTCTATACGAGTTCATTCTGTTCTTTGTCAAACTTCAGTCTTTCAGCTATACTTAAAATCTTTCCATTAATTTTGTCGCAAGTTTATTCTTAATCATTATTTCTTTTCCTTTCTCCAATAGAAATTAGTCTTATTAAAATGTAATTAATAAATTAATTAATGGTATAAGCTTTAAAGGGTTAAATTGCATCGTTTTCCTTAGATTAATTTATTCTGGATTCCTTTCTCCGCAGTGTTGATGGTCGCTATTGAGGAGAAGTTTGATCTACGATCAGTTTGACTTAATTTCTACTACTCAAGTAGTACTAGAGCCCATTTAATCTAAATTGATTAAAGAATTTTGGTCTTGAAATTTCCATCTATTTTCATCGTTTAACTGAGTTAAAATTGTGGTTCTTGTTCAGTTATTCCAAACTTCAAATTAATTTATATCTCCATCAGGTAAGTTATCTATTATTATTTATAATCATTCTAAATCGCCGCTAAAGAAGAGTATTTCCTTGTTCTTTAAACACTCCTTCTCTTGCCTAATGTAGATTTCGATCAAAACAGTAATGTAATATCTCTTTACGTCATTATTCATAATCCCAAAAGTGATGATTGATAGTCATCTTATAATGCAACATAAGCAATTGTCTTAAATCCTTTAAAGGCGTAAAAAACACCAACAGTTAATAAGACTTTAACTAGAACGAGTTTTTTCTTTTATCTTGACGGCATGACTAATTTGTTTTTTCCAATCCGGGGAGCGGGGCTAATCTGTCTAAATCTACTGGTATTTTTCTTACTACTATGAATCTTAAAAAGGTCAGCTGCCATCACAAGGATTTATTTGAAATTACAGGAAAATGGATAGCACTAATTAAATTGTTTTCCATCACAATTAGCATTTATTCCCTTTGAAGAGTGTTATAGCAAACTAATATTTCTACGGAATTTAAGTTACTAGTTCACACCTTGCTGAGTGACAAATAGAAATCGATTTCATACCTTCTGCTTTGGTCGATCCTCCTAATATCCTTAGCTATCTTTACGCCGCTTTTGACTAAATTAATGCCACTGCTACCATCTTTCTTGACAGTACTTGAATTGACAACTACTAACAATTAGCATCTAGCATCAAAGATTTAATTTAGAAAAGTAATTCTTATCAGCTTGAACAAAATATTGATCTTGGATACTATGGAAATACGTATATAGTCAAATTATATCACCTATTTCACGCCTTGACATTGAACTAATCAATACAAATTCATGACAGGTTATAGCCAGCCCTTCTTATAGAGATCTAGGAATCGTATTCTTGAACAGGATAGAACGACAATCATTTCTTGCTTCTTATTCACAACCATTAGGGTGAATCTTGACGCTTTTCAATACGGAAATCAACTTTCAAATCTGCAATCATTATAATTTAATTTAATCGCAAAATCAATCAAAAATATATTCTTATTTCGTTGTTAATTGTGGATGGAATGATCAAGTAATCTTTCTCTAGTAAAGATTAAATATCGCTAAGAGAGATATCGACGTTTTTACTTAGGAATTTACATCAGCTTAATTATAAACTTAATTTTCCCCCGATTTTAAGTTCATAACATTCATTGAAGCAAATTCACGAACATTACTGTCACAATTTAAGACAGCATATCAATTCTCCATTGAGCAATTAACAAGCATTGTAAGTAGTATTCTGAGTGTAATGGCTCTTGTATAGGTGACTGGCTAGAAATAGGAAATGACAGGGAAAGTAACCATCTTATCACCTTTAATATCTGCTACAAATTTATTTGAAAGAATCGCAATAACTGCCGTACTGACATTCAAGCAATTCTTTATAATGGTACAGACAGGAGCGGAAGCTAGCATTTAAAACTTAAGTATCTTCACCAGGTAATATTAACCGGAAGTTTGAAAGATATCGAGAAAAAATAGCCATCCTCTTTCATATAGGACCGGTATTGTGGGTATGGTCTATAATTATGACATCTGTATTCATTTGCTTGCCGGTATTACAGACATCCTTAATAATTAAGACATTATATATCAATTGCCTATCTTAGTCCTTGAAATGGCCGTTATAATTTAGATTGGTGATTCCAAATTTACCTACGCATTAGATTTTTAATCCACTCACCTTAAGAATCAAGACATTTCATCTCATGGTAACATATAGAATCGCCATTATTAGTTAGACTGATGGTTCAAAAATTTTCTCAATCATTTTATAGATTTAATTCACTCATACGTTATTATATTATCCATGCTGATTCCTTTTTAGCAATTTCTAAACTCTTCTTGATTTCATGCTGGACGTAAATTTTCAGTTGTGAATAAAAATCATTCTACTAATTTAATCTTTGGGTTGCTACGTCGTTTTTCTAATTGCTAATCCCCTAACCTCATCAATTAATCATGTGGCTTCTGTGCGCTTAACGAATTGACAGATATTAAAGTTTTCTTATCTCAAAAGGATTTTAAATATCTCACGGCACAACTAATTGTAGCGAAATTTTTTCATATTTTGATATAATTCTCAACATTACTATCTAAATTTTGAATTGCTAGTTATTCACTTAAGCCAGCTTTTAAAAATTAATTTTTTCGATATGGAAATTAAATCTTTAGCGACTATAATACATTTACACCTATTTACAATTTATACAGTAAATACTAGGAGATCTGTCATAGCATATTTTGCTGTAGTTTTTATTACCTGTATTATCGGATCATGGCTTTGTAGATGTAGTTAACACCAGCAAATGCAACTGGTAATACAATTTGAAAATGTACCAGTATAGATTGATTGTATCTTTCTCTGTTAGGAAATATCGAAGTTTTCTTTGCGAAATTAACTCATAATCATTCTTTTTCTATATATTACATAGAATTCAGAATTTAATATATCAGCAGTCATGTCCTCTACAAGACATAAAGAAGAATTAAAGAAATTATTGCAACGTCCAGAAAATAGTATTTGTGCGGATTGTAAAGGCAAAAGTAAGTTTGGCAAATGTATTTCATAGCATGTCTGTATCTTGGTGTTTTCTTCGTCTCAATAGTATGGTTATCTTATGCAAATAGCTATGATTTTAAGGAGAATTTTTTGTCTTAATAGTATAAACCATATTCCAAAAAATTATTTCCAGTTATTACGTATAAAACGTTAGAAATGATGTAAAGTTCCGTTAAGGCTAACATTGATTCGTTTTTATAGCAATATTTTAGCTATGCCAGATGCAATCTAATTTAAATTAAGTCGGATATAGAAAATCTTTTAAAATTAAATTCTACAGCTAAAGTATACTTTAAGTGGTATATTAACTAAATTTATAATTCAAACATTTTTGCTTTACAGTTAATGCGATAAGCTTAATTACTAGGATTACTGAAATTTAGTATATTCCATGTCCTCTTACATCCCTAAGTGAAATGGAAAATTTCTCTAGACTCTGACGAGTTTCTATTTTACTTTCGATATCTAGAATCACTAGAATGGGCTTCCTTCAATCTTGGCGTATTTATTTGCACTGATTGCGTTACTGTTCATCGAAGTCTTGGTGTCCATATCTCCAAAGTTAAATCAGTTTTCCTGGATGATTGGACTGATACTGCTATACAAGTAAGTCTGTCAGCTAATTGCCTTTTTTGCAATTAGAAGCAACTATCTTATTTCATCTTTCTCACATTTTAGATTATGGCTGATAACGATAATAAATCAGCTAATAAAATGTGGGAGAAACGTGTTCCTATATTTTTTCCTAGGATCTCCGCTAGGAACGTTGAGTAAGGCTCTGATTAATCTCTTATAAATATATATCTATCTTACCGAATATTTATCTTATTACTGCTAACTATGGCACTATCTTTCTGGTTACTAATAGGATGCTAAGAGAACATTGGATTAAAGCTAAATATGAAAATCGTCTCTTTACTGGTGAAAAAAGTACTATTCCATTATCAAGTTAGTATTAACAACTTAATTTCTAGGATAGCCATTTTAAATAGATTTCGTCATCAGAATATTTGTAAGTCTGAAATTACTGTTTTAATATACTAAACGCTTATTATCTTTGCTATCGTTAAATTTTTCATTGTGAAGTATGGATGAGAGTAGATAAACTCGCTAGTATTGATCGATCGATGCGGCAATAAAGATATAACTTGCGTTTTCTATTACTTAGCTGCGAAAAGAGGTTTCCTATGGAAAAAGGGAAAAATTAAGAATGAATGGAACCGGCGCCTTTTCGTATTATCCGATGATGCTACAACTTTATCCTATTTCATTAATGAAAAAGTAGACAACTTCTATCTTTATTTCCAATTTAAATGCGACCCTATTCTACCGTCTCATACTTATAAGACTGCAATTTCTAATTGCAGGACATTGAACCTAAAAGTGAAATGAGTGTTGAATGTATTAATGCAACCTTGGTTGGCAAACAAAAACTTGGTAAACCATATGGTCTTCAGCTTTTATATAAAGAGAGTGACGGAAAAACAAGAAATTTTTACATGTATTCCGAGTCGGGCAAGGTAAATAAGCCCAGCGATCTCTAGTTAAGTTATAATAAAGCTATAGGAGACCTTAATATTGATTTCTCTATGCTATGAGTTTTATCGATCAGTTACTACTGCTTTATCACCGTTTTTTCAAGAATTGAACTGGAAACTGTTGTAAATAATTGATGATAGACTGATTTTACAATGTAGGAAGTAATTGATTGGTTATGCGCTATACGAACAGCCAAGGCTGCTGTTCTTGGCTGTCTTTATAAATCGATTCCAGAGCAAGAGGAAGAAAGAGTAAGTTTAATGATGTGGCTTTACGAATGTAGATATAGATGCTATTTAAGCTTTACTAAAGTCAAAATTATTCGCCAACAATCTTGAATTCTACTTGGTTATGTCGATGATAAATAAATTGTAATCTTTCCTCATTTCATGGATCTTGTTCAATTTTCTAGATATCACGTATGTTATCCATTGAATTTCTACATGAAGGCTACTTAGAAAAGACGGGTCCAAAGGTAATTATTATCGGTTTTTATATTATGCATCTTAACTAAAAAATGTTATCCCAGTTAACGATTACGGTAATTTATAACCAAAGGTAGCCTAATATATTAGATTGTCATCATGTTCAGACCACTTCTATTATTTTCTTTAAGGATATATTTTTTCTTTATTTTCTTGATAAAATATTCCTTGTACTATATACTTTTACTGCCCAGCAATAGAATGAACTATTAGATCCTAAATTTATCGCAGCAAAATATTCTATTCAAAAAATCTATCTATAACGTAAATATTGAGCTGTGAATAATCATTTTTCTTCGCTACTATCAAAAGGAAAATGGAGCGTTCCGCAGACGCTGGTTCTCGTTGTATGACAGAAAATTAATGTATTTTAAAGGCCCGTTGGTAAGTTTCGGCTCATATATGTTTCTACGTCAGCACAATTTCCTAAGCTGATTGTAACATGATATAACCATTCTATAAGCCAAGAAATTAGAAATATTTGCAACTAAGCTATCTCGTAGTATAAACTATATATCTAATACTCAAAGGCGATATAACAGTCAAGATTGAACTAATCTGTAGGCTTGATCTAAGTGGATACTATATGTAAAATATGCAGTTATAAGAATAAAGATTGTGCTGACCGAATTAGTTCTATTTTATGGCTGGCACATATGCATAAATGTTATTAAAATGATTAATAATCCAACTACAAAACTTGTCAGGGCTAATTATAGTTCACAATTAAGTCTAAATTATTGGTGAGTTTAGCTACTTACCCATCAAAATTATTTTAGATGCAAAAACTGCGACAATGCTTCGAGACTCGAACTAAATGGCTTTATTCTGTTTCCTTTCTCCCTACTTAGGAGCCTTATCCACTAGGTGAGATCGATATTGGACTACAGGATAGAGGTTATAAAGTCCAAGAAGATGACATTGCATCTCATCAGCGTGGTGATGGATTTTGCTTTGTATTCAAAACACCTGGTCGTAATTATTATTTAAGAGCTGATTCAGCTAGCGAAAAGCGAAAATGGATGAGGGCGCTAAATGAAGCATTGGATAGTGTTCATTTCTATCTTAATGGTAAATAGTAGCAGAAGAAAATTGACTAGCTCTATCTATTTTAATTTTATCACTACGAAATTGTAGTGTATTCCGTCGATATCTCCTCCCTAAAATGCTTTATAATGCAATCTCTTACTTCTATAATGAAACAGTATTTGCACAAATGGATTTCCTTAGGCAATCACAAACATTTTAATATTGCCTATTGTTTTAGAAAATATGACTAGCTAGGGTATAGATTAATGATACTTTAATCCTACGCCAATGCGACGTTTGTAAAATATGAATAACCAGTTACGGGCACGAAACCTTAATACCTGTAATCAGGAAATGTTATATAAATAGTGCCTCCTCATTCTCGAGCAAATAGACATAAACCTACTGAATATCATTTCATCCAGTTTACTACTATATACGCTATATTGAAAGTTATTCGGTGGTAGCTATTGAGCCAGGATGAACATCATCGGACTTCGGATTCAACAAATACACACTTTCAAGCCAAATAAGCTTGTAGCTCATGGATAGGGTTTCTTCTTGAAGCAATCATCAGTGTAAATCAAGCTAGATATTTATAATACATTTAATTTTAATTTAGAGTCGCTATGTCATCTGAATTTTGATATCTATGAATATTAAGGATTGATTACGATTAGAATTAACTAGCATCGATTATATATCAAGCTAGTGGTATTGTCTATAAAATCCTATTCCTAAATTGCACTAAAAGTAATATACATTCATTTTAAAAACTTTCGCAGCAGTATTAAAAATTTTATATAACAGGATTCAATCGCTGATCTTTTCCTTCTGTTTTTACTTTGTCTTTTTGATATAAATATTGATCTTAAAAAATTATTGTAGCAATCACTTTTTCAACAATTGATCAATTTATTTAATCAATTAACTAGTTAATTCAGCAGGAAACGATGATTTTATATGTAATAATACTATATGTAATCAGATTATGGTTCAAAATTTAGGTTGCATCAGCATAAGTTATAGACTGATCGACGGGTCAATTGAAGTGATTGAATTCAATTGGCTAACTATGCTTTTAATAATTACACAACTGAAAGGAAAGGATAACTTGATCAAGTGCGAGGATATAGAATTTATTTGCTATGCTTTACAAAATATTTCAATCAATATTATTGGCACCAGTGATGCTATTCAAATATTGTTTAAGGTTAGCTAGATTTATAAGTTATACTAAACACTTGACTAGTTCATTCTGACAAAATAAGAAATAAAAATGTTATGTAATTGTAAATATGAAGGTAATGTCTACCTGACCTATGGCTGTAGTCAGTACCAAACCGGAAAGGTTTCTTCACTTTACGTAAATAGAATATATTGCAATTGTATTGCATTCTTGCGACAATTGCTTGACTTAGCACTCTTATATGGCACATTAGCAATTTTACGACGATAGAAGTTGGCAACTTCTATGCCAACTTCTATCATCAAGTCAATCAGCACGATATAAATTGTGTAGAATAAGTCTTTAAATTTGGACAACACTGCAATAAATACAGAATCTATATCATATTTTAAGTTCAGCATATACGTTTGTAGAGTACGCTTATGCAAAACAATTCATAAAAACGAAATTTCACTATCATCTCATCTGCTACACAATTGAAATTATCAAGAGTAAATTTTTAATTCAGATAACGCGGTAATGAAGCAGAATCTACATTATAATGATGGTATGATTTACGCTAATATAGAAGATCATTCGCGGTGGTATTCTTTTGTTTTTAAATGGCAGGTAGCCTTATTTAATCGCTCTACATTTTCATGTGTGGTATCAAATTGTAGGGTGACTTCTTCAAATACTTTACTAACATCGATCTAATAAAATAGGAGATGAAAAGATTCTATTAAGAGCAACATTTTAGAAATCAGGCATCGATCAAACAGTTGCCCTGATACCTGTTGAAATCCAAGTTTATTGAATAGGCATATACTCGGGGTATTATCCATCCCAATTTTAGCAACAAATTTTTCTGTATTAAGTTGAGTAATACCTGACAGGGAAAGAATTAGTAACAAAGACAGCTTAGGTATTATACTCGTATAACAGTATGAGTGCATATGGCAGTGCGTATGGCTGTTACTATTAGATATGTCCCATGTAACAGTAGGTATACGTAGTAACTTAGAAGTACAACTGTACTGAATTACACTTAGAACGGATTTAAGATAGTGTTTGTAATTTCCATGTCTTCGAAATATACAAAATGAGTCCAGCGCAAGCATTTATAGCTTCTCTGTTTAGCTATAAGATAATGCTGTAAGTAATGTAAGTGATTGAGGATAATTAAGCGTGTATTAGTACTACATCAACAGTCTATAGTACAGAATAAGTTTTCGAAAAAGGACAACAATGATTCTAATCGAGGAAAACGTTTGTATCTTTTGTTGGCTGAGCCCGGCAAAAGTTTCTTATAGGCCATCTTATAGGAAATTTGCACTCTTTCTATTCTTGCAATTATTATTACTTTAAATTCTGCACGTTCATGTCAAATATACGTGAAATGTAAGTATTGTAAAAGCTGAACTATCTAACAGTAAATTATCATTTTACGCACATTTTATCATTATCTAAAAATAAGAATTAGCATATTATTTACTAATTGATATAACCGACTTTATAAATGAACTGAAAAGGAAAAAAACACCATGATAAAAGATAGCAGATTAATATATCATTATTTAAGAAAAATTCCAAGCCAGCCAGTTGATACAGGAATGAATGAATCCATAAGTGTTGGGTAAATGAAAAACCGAATACAACCACCAGTCCATCTACGACTATCATTGCAGTTTACGGTATTGTAGCTAGCTAACATATCAACACAACGTTATTTTAAGATACCATATATCATCATAGCTTGTAAAGCTTCACTACCAAATCCTTTTCTTCTATATTCACTCTCTAAGTTATAAAAAATAGTATCAGGCAAAGTTTACAATACGAGTATAGTCTATTGTAAGCAGAGGTACTTAGCATTATACGTAGACTTGGTATATAAGTGTAACATAGATGAGTTCGTACTCGCAATCATAATTTCAATTTCAGCAGTATGAGGATCATTCGGATTGTTAAAAAATAAATTGACGTCGCCAATCATACTCTCTGTCAGAGATAAAAAGATTGAAAAAGATTTTATTTCAAAGGATACCAATACTTTACGATATGATGGTGTGATAAAGTGATCTTCAAAACAATAAATCAAGAACTACAGTTTCTTGTAAATTTCACTTTATTACAGAAGTTAGGTTCGTCTAACTACCAAGGACTATCTGACTATCTGACAATCTACTTATTACAGCAAAATTCACGATTTATATACGATTAGTTACAGAATGCTTTTACTGTAACAAATCTTATCTTGCCCATTAAGTCGCAAGATCATAGCTTACAAGTTAAGTTATTCTCGTACAGTCTTAGTAATCTAAGCTATATTTAGGGCTGCACTACAGATGGTTACTGCACTATGAAAATGCAGACGTGATGAAGAGTCATTGTGATCGCTAAGTTAATGATAATTAGTAGTGTATTTTTTAGTATTGGCGATCTTACCAATTTCAGCATCTTTGATGCCATTCCAATATTTTCTAGCCAGTATAATAAAAGTACATTCTAAAATGAATATGGTAATACAGTAATTATTATCATAAAAGATCAAAGCTAGTATGTCATTCATGACTATTTGAATGGAAACTTACTGTCTTCGTCTTGTTGCCATGATTGCTGCATTTGATATTCTTGGCTTAAAGTTAGTGGTTCTGAAGCAGTTTGAGCTCGCAATTCGGCAGATTGCATCCATTGATGATATCTGTTATGAAATATACTTGCATAAATACATTTTTAAAGTTGTAATTTGGGGAAATCTCCTCGTCTCTTGTTACATTTGCCGTCATATATTTCTATTTACGGTTATACCATATACGCGTACTGTAGTAGCTAGTAAATGTTCATCTAGCTATGCTACAAAGATGCACCTTTGCAATAACGATTTCTCTCAACTAGATGTTTTTGCTATGAAATGAATACAGTTTGATTATCCAATTGTTATGATAGCTTATTTTGATAGGACGTCACCTTCATCTCAATTCAACATCTACATTAATATCACGATCCAAGTTGAGATACAAGAAAATCAAGTAAAGTGTCGGTCTAATTTCTTCATCTTACTGATCCATCAAATACTTTTGTAGTTTGCGAATCATCCATTCAGCTATCTGGTCATGCACATTTCAGTAGAGCTATTTTAGCTCGCTCACTATTTACAACTACAGCTCTATCTTACTTGGTGAGGTAATCCTGTTAGTTTCATTATGGGCACAGCATGTCCATTTCACTCAATGAATTCAAAGCTACGCGTAGCTAGAATGAGTTTGTTTGATGACATTACTGTACTATATATGAAAACGAGTAGGTTTCAATCCAAATTTAAATTAATTTTAGCAAGCTTGTGATGAAACTTGTTGGCTTTTGTGCGACCATGGTAATATACTATATATTACTTATTGTAATATATGAGGAGAACAGTAAAGAACTAAGCCAATATTTCTGCCTTCAATCAATGTCTAGCAGTTGATTGTCATCATAGAATAGTTTGTGCAACCACGATAATATACTATATATTACTTACTGTAATACATAATGAGGACAGTAAGGAACTAAGCCAATATTTCTGCCTTCAATCAATGTCTAGCAGTTGATTGTCATCATGGAATAGTTTGTGCAATCATGGTAATATACAGCATATTACTTACTGTAATACATGATGGAGACAGCACCGAACTAAGCCAATATTTCTGCCTTCAATCAATGTCTAGCAGTTGATTGTCATCATGGAATAGTTTGTGCAACTAAGCCAATATTTCTGCCTTCAATCAATGCCTAGCAGTTGATTGTCATCATGGACTAGTTTGTGCAACCACGATAATATACTATATATTACTTATTGTAATACATGATGAGGACAGTAAGGAACTAAGCCAATATTTCTGCCTTCAATCAATGTCTAGCAGTTGATTGTCATCATGGAATAGTTTGTGCAATCATGGTAATATACTGTATATTACTTACTGTAATACATGATGAGGACAATAAGGAACTAAACCAATATTTCTGCCTTCAATCAATGTCTTGCAGTTGATTCTCATCTTTTGACGATTAAACGATAGAGTTACCGCGATGAGGATCCGACGTTCTGATTCATGGTGTGGTACACTAGGGTGTAGTATCGTACTTTACATTGATATACAGTACGGTACTGTGTACAGGACAGTAGTCTCATAAGCGTCTGTTACTATCGAAACAAGAAATTGAAGGCGTAGTTCAACGGCAAGTCAGCCATTAAAACAGCCGAGAATGCAACGCAAAAATGAACGGGATTCTTTCCTGGAAACTAGTCGTAACTATCTAAGTCTAAGCTCTCTTTAATCTACCCAACTTAGATTGGAGCCTTAGATAAGAGAATGAACACTCACACTAAGAATTAAAGCTTTATTAAAATAACCCATTGAACTGACAACTTCCAATCTACTACAAATACCTGATAACCATCTATTATAATTATCATCTAACTTATCCACTTCCCCCAATTAAGAATTTAGAGGCTTTTATATAGCCTCGCCAACTTTGTTGGTGCAAAACAATAATAAATTTATTGCTAAGTCTACATGCTGAATATTGCAAGAATCACTTGCACACTTTCCATGACATCGAATAATAGTTCATTCGTGGTTAGGTGTTAACATAGGATGCATTCATTACTCGACAAAATTAGATCATTGATGACACTATAATGAATGAATTATCACAGTAATATACTTAATGTAGGTAATATTGAATGGACGCAAACACATGTAGTAATCTTAAATGGACTGAATGACTATTATTGAATATTATATAGTCCTGTTAAACCTACACCGTTAGACATACCGTAAACTTAAGACATAAAGTCAAAGTCATTAGTCAAGCATACAGTATAGAAATCAGTACTACTATATACTACGCTACGCTATATTTATTCGATTGTACGTTTAATAATGAATTTCCTGTTGCATAAACTTGCAATTACATTGCGTTAGAAATGTGAACGGTGCACGTATATAAGCCGCCGTTTCCGATACAATAACGAGAGTAAGAGTTGGTAGTTAGTTTTACAATAACTTCAACTAAGTGTTCAATTTCTTGTCTCTATGCTAAGTGAGAGTAGTACGAACTTTTAATACAGTTGTTAGTATTTAACTCTAGACAGTAATACACAACAATTTAGCGTCATGAACAGGATACTCTAGTTAGCCTTACTGTACAGTACATTTTCTTTAATATTTGTTTAATATTTAAGAAATACTTCACAATACATCACGGTGGAAGAGTCGAATGCTGCAACAACTCCAGCTCAACGATTCGAGACTGGCTGGTCCTAAACCTTCGATTAAAATGTTCAAATGGAATGATGAATCCTCAATTGATATGTTTTTGGATCGATTTGAGAAGGTTCTGATTTTATCATGCTCTGTCGTCTTAACTCTACCATGAGTGGCTGTGATCTAGAATACAGCATAAGCATGACTGTACGGAGTCCATGGGACAGTAATGTACGTCCAGCTATGTTAGGACTGTCTAGAAGAACCTCGATAGTTAGGATTTTCAAGTATTAGGAAAGCATCCTGTAGATTCTGCAAACATTCTAATAATTGGTTACAATCCGCCGCCGGGAGTTTTCCCGGTAGGCTTTAAACAGGGATTATTCCATAAAAAAAATTGGTAAAAATAAAGAAAATTTTACACCATAAAAGAAGTTCCTGACATCATTCACTGTAAAAATGTGCAACTACTCGAATAGTCTATGAGACTGTACCGATTCCTACTTTAAATTGTAAATTACCTCGTAGTTAGCGCTCTTGCAATTGATTTAATTTAGTTTTATACTTCGATTTAAGGATCAACTAGAAATATTTCTTGTCGTAGTCGCTGGAATATACAATGATACAGACCCGTCTATAGATTCTGTAGGTGACAGGATTCCTTTTAATTTATTTATACTCCGAGAACTGTGCACAGATAGGCATTCAACTGCTCGCCATCAAGGCAATAAATTGTATTTTCGGTAATGTCTATGGCAACTACATTGTTAGCGTTTTACTACTATGAATTATAAGACACTGATCCAAAGCCATGTCATGTCCCTTTGTAACAATTCATGCTGCAAAAATTAAGCTATAGTAGCTCATAAGTAGAAAAATTTTGTTTCAAAGGCCTTTTTGTTATATCTTAGTCATGGATTAGGAATTTAGGATATTAATGTCAAGAATCCAGCAATATTGAAGCAAATTTACGAGCAGTAAACCAAAACCTCGTTAGTTGTCCAAGTAATAGGTGCGTGTACTTGCAGTACACGAAAATAGAACGAGCATTGGTTTTACTGGTTATGAGCAATACGTGCGCAATGTAACCTACACTATAAGATGTTGTAAATTATCCTTAGATTATAATTATGCTAGGTAGAACCTACCACTAAATTTTGTTAAAAGTTACAAGAAAATCAACTGCAATACATGATGTATTTCAGATTAAATTAAGTGTTCTCTTCTTCTTGTAACGATTACCATACCAATTCCTGATCTTCTAATTCTATACTATCGCAGGCATGACCAGCTGAATTCTGTTAATGCTGCAGTATTTAATTGACACTGAAAGACATTAGAGAAAGGCATCAGAAATGTAGCTATTTCTTTTAGTATTGAGAAAGAGGGATCGTAAATGTAATTGAAATATAGTACTTTTGATAAGTACTAAACTTTAAATCCTTTATTCTATCAATTCTTACCATCTAACATTCCGAGTGGGCATAGTATAAATATTCCATAATTAAAAATACGAAAGTTATTATTAATAAAATAAAGATAAAAATGATACTCTACAAAAAATATCTACGAGAAACTAGATTAATTGTAGTATACGAATGGTTGCAAAATATTTGAAATAGGCAATGAAGTACAGAACGTTCAAATGGTAAAAGAATGCTATATTAATTTCGTATTGTAGAATATTAATACTGAATAATATAAAGCAAACAATAAATAATTAGTCGTAAAATGTACTTCAGCTTGATAGTATTTAACTTACACTCTGAGACGTTGATGGTCATACAGTTCATGACATAGAAGTGCAATTTTAAAAAGTAAGACAATTCTATTAGTTGATAGTTATACATAATCACATCAGTATCTTACTATTTTAAGTTTCGTAAAATATCTGAATTTTGACAAAGGTATGTTACTTTAATAGATAGTCGTTCTTGACCATGTAGAATATAGCGCAGGTTATGCATAGTAATAAATTTAATTTATGCTGTCTCAAATGCATAGAATATGATTGGAAGATATTAATAATTGTATATAATTAATTATTGAAAATGAATGCGAGTAGCCTAAATCACTATTAATGATCAGATTACGTAAACGGACTTAGTACTAAACCGTATTATCTAACAATTAGGTAAACAGACCCACTTGCGAAATTTTTACTTTACGGATATACTAAAAGTTATAGTATAGCACTTTGTACTATTATCGCAGTTTCATTACATTGCTGTTTTTATAATGACTGAAATGAAATAATCTGTGACCGTTGTAGTTTAGTCTAGCATTGTTCAGTGTCGCAAATGTGGTAAGTTTCTGAAACCTTCACCTAATTTACAAAACAGTTCGTAAAATATCTTCTATTATTTAGAGATGATTAAAGTGTGATGACAACTTATTTAATCACGAATTCAACTTGCTTACGATTCTATATAATACTGAACGTGATCATGGATGAATACATTATTAAACATATAGGGTACAGAGTCCTGAAATAAAATTTATTCTGCACGAAAATCTCGCTTATGACAGGAAAGGTAAACAATCTATGAAGTAATACTTACCCACTTTATGATAGACCAATTCGTTTTTAGAAAATCATCAATTTTGCATGAAGGACAATTATATATGGCATACATAAGATTGAATAGTAGGCATAAAATTAAATTTATTCGCATATCGCTCTAATTTGTGAAGTATTATCGTAGCTTAAGCACACGAACTACAGTACTGGTAGTTTAGCGATAAAATTGTATAATGTGTGGCAGTAGAAACTAAATTCATATTTTCTCGTCGTCAAATTTGTTTAATGTAATCTTTATGCAAACAATTAATTTCGCTAGAGTTGATAAAAGCATTAATATCGTAGCAATTTAAAATAAAGTTCGAAATCTTTATCAATAGTAACTGATATCAGAAATAAGATATATCAAATATCCAATTATAAGTAAATAAGGTACTATTAGAATTTAAATAAATAAAGTAAATAAAATATTGTACTTACGCGCTTTATTGCCCAATTTCGGAATCGTACATAAAAATTAATTATAAAAGTGAAGTAAAATTAAAAAATTATTTGTTTTGTTATTCCAGAATTTAATCCTAGCCTAGTCCTATTCTTTATTAATTTCAATGCTCTAGCAATATATGATTGTTCAGTATTCCCAAACAGTCCAAGACATTATCGATATAACATCGCTATCAAGCTAAAACACTTAGTCGATTGCTCTAAAATTTCTCGTAGAGACTAAAGTATAAATCGAACAAATACGTCATAGATACTGTACTTCACATTAGCGTGTAGATGATTATCTATATCAGTAATCTGCTATTTGCTCTCCTTCAGGTAAATTTAGCGAGTATATGATCATAGATACTTGCTGAAATACCGCGCTCATAAGAACAGCTAGCTTAAACACTTTATTATTTATCTATACTAAATAGGCAACTTACTTGCTTCTGTAAATTCAATGTAAATTGCCAAAGGAAAGCAAAGACGAGATGTCGATATAAAAAAGAAATAAAAGTAAATCTTAATTGTTTCAAATGTCTAAAAAAATCATTTTTTTTTAATATTTGTTGAAGATAACTGATACAACTTTAATCAATGAATGCATAATATTTTTTGTGTAAGGTAGAGAAGAGATCTTTTATCTTACTCTACAATATATTATAAACTGCCAGTTCATCAAATTAGCCTAGTAATATGTAGCTGATGATTCTGATCAATTTATTGTAAGCTGTTTCTTGATACGAATTAACACAAACATTTCCATCTATTATGTTATTAA